AACATGAAAGCTACTATGTACAAAACAAGATATATACAGGATAAATTGGAAATAATCTCAAGGGGAAAAACACTGGCATTAAGGGGAATTGGGAAAGGCTTCTTGCAAAAGGTGGGATTTTAGATGGTACTTGAAGAAAGCCAGGGAAGCCAGGAAATGGAGATGAAGAGGGAGAGAATTCCAGGCATGAGGGACAGTCAGTGAAAGTACCTAGAGTCAGGAGATGGAGTATATTGTATATGGAATAGCAAGGAGGCCTGTACCACTAGATTATGGAGTATATGAGGGTAGAGTTGGGAAGTAAAGTGTAAGGAGACTGGAAAGATCAGAAGGGGCCAGGTTATTTTTATAAATTTATTTATATATATATATATATATATATATATATATATATTTATGTAAAAGCCAGGGAGATTATTTTATATTTGATCCTGAAGGGAATAGGGAGCCAACTGGAGTTGATAGAACAGGAGCTGACATAATCAGACCTGGGCTTAGGGTAAATTACTTTGACAGCTGAATGGAGGATGGACTGATGTGGGGAGTGACTTAGGCAAGGAGACCAGCCAGAAGGCTATTTTGAGAGTCTAGATTGGAGATGATACGGGTCTGCCCGAGGGTGGTGGCAGTATTGGAAGAGAGAAGGAGGCATATGTAAGAGATGTTATGAAGGTAAAATCAACAGACGTTGGCAACAAATTGAATATGTGGGGGGTAAATGTGAGTGAGAAGTTGAGGATGACACCTACTTTGTGAGCCTGGGTGACTGGGAGGTTAGGGGTATCTCCAAGGGTAATAGGGAAGCTTGGAGAGGGGAGAGTTTAGGTGAAAAGATATTGAGTTGGTTTTGAATATGTTGAGTTTAAGATGTCTATGAAACATCTAGTTTGCAATATCTAACAGGCAGTTGGAGATGCAAGAGGGCAGTATCGGTACAGCGGTCAGGTCTGGAGAAGTAGATATGAGAATCACCTGTATAGAGATGATAATTAAATGTATGGGAACTGGTAAGCTCACCAAGTGAAATAGAATAGAGGGAAAAGAGAAAAGGGCTCAGGAGAGAACCTTGGAGGGACACCCATGGTTAACATGTGTGACTTGGATAAAGATCCAGAAAAGGAGCTTAGAAAGAATGGTTAGATTGGTAGGAGATCAGGAAAGGGCAATATCACAGAAAACTAGAGAGAAGAGAATATCAAGGAGAAGAGAGTGATTGATAATGTCAAAGGGTATGGAGAAGTCAAGAAGGGTGAGAATCGAGAGCACACCACTTCTTTTCCTCTCACTCTCTTCTTTATTTGCTACAGTCTAGTTTCTGACTCCCATCATTCAATCATTGATCCTAACAATTACCCAAGTAGCCTTAAAAGAAGTCCAGGCAGGAGCAACCCAGTCCTAGCCCTGACCAATACCCTGGGGAGACCCAGCTGCAAGCCACAATGTCCTTCCTCCTCATCCTATCCATACAGCACCTGGGACCCAGAGGCAGCATGACCAAGCTTCAGTGTTTCTGGCCTTTTGAAACTATGAGTGTTATAATTCATCTGCCACCTATTACTACCCTGTTAACAAACTCCAACCATCTGCTTCTCATTTTATCCTTGTGTTATTCAATCATCAGCAACCTAGGAAAAAATGATTCGTAACTGGCGCCTCCTGTTCTGTCATATCCATCCTACTTAACTTTTTATACTTTATCTTACTAATCATTCTATTGATCTATTATGCTACTTAGTCCTATCCATATCCCATTCAACTCTGTTCACCCCTTCCCCAGTGCCCTCTGGAATTTTTATTCCATAGTGAACAAACTTTCCCTCATCCTGGACTTTCTCTCGTACTCCTCATACCTACTTGATCTCACTGACACCCAGTTGCCTCCAGACAACATTGTTTCCTTGGCTATCCTTTTTAGCTATGACTGAACCTTTGCCTTTGCTCAATCCCCTAGCAAACTGGAGGCTGGATTATTTCTTGCTGTCTATTTCCAGATTCTTCATTTGCTGCCATTGCTCGGCAACTTCTCCTTTGAATTTCACAGTGTCAGAATTTACCACCCTGTTCAAATCTTGGTAGGTGTTTTATAGGAGCTCCAGGCTATTCTCTCTCCTTCTGTAAGCCATCAGGGTAAGTGACTTGCCCAGGGTCATACAGCTAAGTGTCTGAGACCAGATTTGAATTCAGGTCCTCCTGATTACAGAGCTGGTGCCACTGCCCCATCCCTCCCTTCTTAAGGAGTTTATTGGTAGGCTTACTGACTTTTATTCCTCCCCAACTCCTACCATTATTCTGGCAGACTTTAGCCATGTTGACTTCAACCTCAGACTCCTTAAACTCCTACTTTATCAATTTCCATAAATCCCATGATCTACTGTTTTCCCTCCTTACTTCCACCTCTGGCCTTCCCTGGCTTCCTTCAAGTCCCAGCTAAGATCTCACCTTTACTTTACTTTCTACTCTTCCCAATCTCAACCTGATAGTTCACTACTTCAGATCCACACTGTCATCAGCTTCCACATCCCCTAATGGTCTCTTGTCTTATTGCCATTCATTCCTTGCCAAACATCATCCCTGGATCACACCCACCATCCGCCTCCTCTCCTCCTACACGCTTCTCTTCTGCCACTGAACAGAGCTGGAGGAAGTAATACAGCGTTGCTGACTGAATACATTATAAATCAATGTTACCAACTTCAACTGGGGCTTCCCTGCAGCAAGGCTGTTCTTTTATTCTGTATTGCTATTCCCTCCCCACAGAAGCTATTCCAAACTTTTCTTCTTAAGCCTCCCATAACTTTTCTTCCTTCCACTCTTTCAGTGGAAAAACTTGCTTCTTACTTTACTGAGACAATTGAGGCCATTCACTGGAACTCTATCTTTCTCCTTTCTCCTTTCTCTTCATCTCTGAACCCTTTTTGACATCATCTCCCACTCCTTTCTCCCAGTCTTCCTTCCTAATTGTGAACTTCTTGACAGTAGGTCTGTCTTTTGCCTCTTTTTGTACCCCCAGTTCTTAGTACAGTGCCTAGCACATAGTAGGTGCTTAGTAAATGCTATTTACTGACGATCTCTGATAGTGAGCTGTTCTTTCTCCTTGCCAATTATATTATCTGTGCCCTTGAACTCATCCCCTCCTATCTTCTTGAGCAGACTGCCATTTTTATCATCCCCTCTTTTAATCTTCAACCTCTCCCTATTTACTAGCTCCTTCCAATAAGCATGTCTTCCTATCTTGAAAAAGTCTTCACTGGAAGGGAGGCTAGGTGGCACAGTGGATATGGCACCTGGCCAGAAGTCAGACTCCTCTTCCTGAATCCATATCTGGTCTCAGATACTTGCTAGCTGTGTGACCCTGGGCAAGTCACTTAATTCTGTTTGCCTCAGTTTCCTCATCTATAAAATGAACTGGAGACGGAATGACAAACTACTCCAGTTAGTTGCCAAGAAAATCCCAATGGAATCAAGAAGAGTCAGACACAACTGAACAACAGAATCCATAATTCCCTCAAGTTTTTGCCATATCTCTCGTTCCTTTCTCAAACTGCTAGAAAAAGCTGTCTATACTCATATTTTTACTTCATCTCCTCTCATTCCTCAGCCCCTTATAGTCTATCTTCAGCTGTATCACTCAATGGAAACAGTTCTCTCCAAAAATACCAATGATCTCTTAGTGACCACATCTGTGGTTTCTCCCAATCTATGATTTCGTAGCTGTATTTGACACTACTGACTATCCTTCCCTCCTGGATCCTCTCTCCTGTTGGGGTTTTTATGACACACTTTTTTGGTACTCTTCCTTATGTATCTAACCCCTCCTTCGAGTCTTTGCTGAGTTATAATCCATATCACACCCTAAATTAGGGTTTTCTCTAAGGCTCTGTCCTAGGCTCTCTTATTTTCTCTCTATATACTCTTTCTCAGTGATTGCATCAGTTTCTGTGGATATAATTATCATCTCTAGGCTTATGACTCCCAGATTTATATATCCAGCCTCAGTCTCTCCACTGAGCTTTATTCCCTCATTACCACCTGCCTATTTGGATGTTTCAAACTAGATGTCCCGGAGACATCTCAAACTCAACATTTTGAAAACAGAACTCATGTTTTCCCCAAACCCACCTTTCTTCCCAATATTCCTGTTCTGTCTGAGGCATCACCATCCTTTCAAGCTCCCAAGTTCATAGCCTCAGCATCATCTTTGACTCTTCATACTCCCTCAATCCACATACCCAATTAGTTGCCAATTTTACCTTTTCTACATCTGTATCTCTTGCATTTGAGCATTTTCCTCTACTCAAACAGCTACCGCCTTAGTTTGGGCTCTCATCACCTCTCCTCTAGATTATTTCAACAGCCTCTTAATTGGTCTTCTTGCCTCCAGTCTCCCCTGACTCTATTTTATCCTCTACAGAATTGCCAAAGTTATTTTCCTTAAAGAAAGGAATCTGAGCATAACCATTAGATGCCCTACTCGATAAACTCAAGGGGCTCCTTAAATGCAGCTAGGATATCTAAATATAAATATATTTTTTCCTGTTAACTTTTTCCTTAATAACATGCCCACGAGCTATCTGTCCAGCTTCCCACACTCTGCAATCCAGCTGAACTGGCCTATTCTTTATTGATCACACCCAACCCTGTACATATTTCACATCTCCATCCATTTCTTTTCTTTGCATTTGTTATCCCCCCTCCTTATTTCTGCCTTCCAAATCTCCCTATAAAGCCTTTCCTTATCAACCCCCCAATTTCCCTCCCTTCCTCCCTCCTTCCTGTCTTTCCTTCCTTTCCACCTTCCTATTTTTAATTTAATTAACTTATATTTATTTATGTTTATTTTGTAAATGCTTTTATCTTTCCTTATTCTCTCACCACTAAAAAATCTTGAGGGTGGGGATTGTTTCATTCTTTGTGTTCCCAACACCATTGCCAACCATAGCACCTGGCGCATAATAGAAATTTAATGAATGTTTGTTGATTGCTTGCTTTTTAGAGCCAGGTCAACGGAAGCAGCTCAGTTTCTCAGAAAGATCATTGACCAAGCCCCGGAGATTCGAATTCTAGTTGTGGCTCTACTCCTAGTTGGCTCTGTGACTTTGGGTAAGTCACTGTCCCTTTTCTGGCATCATCATCTTTCTCTTTAAAATGAGGAGGTTGGTTTTTTGTGATTTCTAAGGTGTCCAGGATTCTTTGACTCTAAGTGGAGTCTGGAAAGGGGAAAAGGCATTGATAACTCACAGAAAAAATTGAGGATCACAGGAGACCGTCTTTTCCTCTTCAGCACAACGTGCCTCATGGACAGTTGAGCTAAGCTTTCTGTAGGAGTCCAAGAGTGTCTGCTGGCCTTGGGAGCAAACAGGAGGTTTGGAAGAAGCCTGCTCAGGCTGTGCCTTGGATTCAGAAATCCTATCCTGCTGTGAAACAGGATCATGCCTCTGGCTGGAGAAAACTTAAGGGAGAGCAGTCAGGCTTGGGAGGGGGCTGGGCTTTGGGCATGTTATCAGGCTAGGGGTTTGTTGAGAAAGTTTGTTGAGAAGGGGGTTTGTTCTGGGTCTAACTGGAAAAAAAATGGAGTTTTTTTGAGCAGAGGGAAAGAACACATCAATGAAGTTTATAGTTTAAGGTGTATAGATCAAATTCTGGACTCTAGAATATCCCAGAGGTTATATTAGCTTCTCTCTCATATAGATATAATCTATACATCTATAAAGGTAGATGTGTGTGTGTATGCATGCATGTATGTATATATATGTATATATATACTAACAGTCATTGACTATTGTGGGTTGTCAGGGAGGTCCCCATCTTCACACTCAGTCCATCTAAGACCTTGTCCAGAAATGGCCACCTGGGCACCTGAATCACTTCTTTTCCTGTCCCTCATAACAGTGTACTACACCACAATAGGTACAACTGAATTGAAGCTGTTGAGTTGCCCCCTCCCCCCCGATACCAGCTAAATGATTTTTTTACATTACTTTTTTTACTTTTTTACTTACATTTTTACTGCTTGAGTGATCTGGGACATAAAATATGAGACCATGGCAAAGGACACAAGCCAAAGCTGGATTCAGTGGAGATTGGATCTAATCGACAGTGTTAGACTGACAGGTGTGTCAAAGGGCTCAGGATCCCTTCTGCTGTCTCACTGCCAATAGGAGCCAGGTGGACAGGGAAAGTGTTTAATGTATTTAGCAGAGCCTAGGCAGTAATGCCCCAGACATAGAAGAGTAGCTGGGGAAGGGCACTCTCTCCAGAGAGGGCTCAGAACTCTCATGATATAATAGATTTAGAGCTGGAAGAGATGTCAGAGATCAGCAATTCAACTCCCTCTTTTGCAGATGAAGAAACTGAGGCCCAGAAGAAATAAATTACTTGCCCAAAATCACAGATAGTTAATGGCAGAGCTGGGATTTGAACCCATAGCTTCAGATTTTTTTCTACCATTCCGCTCTGCCTTCTCACTACTTCTTAGAAATCTCTTTCTAAGGGCAGTCCTCTGAGGTTTGATTTATTTCATCTTCATTGTCTTCCTATCTCTTTTTGTGCCCTCCATCCCCTCACTTGCTGGAGCTCCATGCTGTCCATAGGCTTTTTGGGTTTCCTGATTCTGGCACCCCATTCATTTCTGCTTAATCTGTGTAAGACCTTCTGCTCCAGACTTGTTCTCCCATTCTCCATGAAAACACATGCCTTCTATTCTCCAAAGGTCCTGTATAGGAATGCAGATATATCACCTGGCTAGGTGACATGTTTGCATTTTGATAAGGTCCTTGTGGAGTCATGCTGCAATCTACAGGGCTGAGTTCAATGCTGACCATTTCAGGCCATAGCAGGTTAGGTTTTAGGGAAGAGAGGTCACTAGCTTCAATACTTCTGTGTCATAAGACTGAGAGCAGGTAGGGACGTTTCTCATCCCTTAGGGCAACTATTGTGAAGGTCATCTTGTTCTGTAGTCTAAGAGGGAAAGCAGAAAATGACAGTTATCTTCTAGAAGGGAATTGCCTTCTCCACTCCATCCCACCCACAGCACACTGGCACAGACTCCTTGGTTCCCCACTCCCCAAGCCAAGAAATCCATGTGGACCTGGATCAAACCATCACCCAGACAGGTGTTACTGGCCAGGGACCATGTGTAGCCCCAGTGTGGGCACCTCAACTCTGCACCCAGAGCAGGACTCCCCTGGCTTTCTCTTGATGACAGGGACCAGCACAATGGCCTCTCATCAATAGCTAATGTGCTGGTCAATAAAAGATGCCCCGCTCCCTAAGAATCCCCACTCCTCTTTTTGTCCCCCAGCTCATAGCATCCTCTGTCTTTGCCTCAGTTTTGCTCTGGGCTCTTAGACACCTATTTTTTGTCCCTCCTCTCCCCAGGGTCATTTGGTGGCCTTGTCCTCTGGAAGGTATGGAAGAAGGGGTTATGGATAAGGACTATGGCTCTTGAAGGGACCCAGGATATTTGGATTTTACCCTGTGGCCTATTGTAGAGGAGGGCAGACCTAGTAAATACTATGTTTCCCTCCTCAACTCTAAGCTTAATCATAACAAGGAGAAGCACCAAGATCCTGATCTCAGCTCTGAGTTATCACTCTTTTAGAGCATCCCCTCTCCTCAAGGAGAATTAGTTTCAGGACCAAGCTGTGGCCCAGACTGAGTTCAGAGCCAACTTGAACTCCTGGGCTGACCCAGAACTAAAGTAGGATCAGAGGGGCATAAATTTTGAGCGGAGTAGGACTTTGAAGGTCATCTATTTCAATTCTTTGAACAACTAGGTGGCGCAGGTCTTCCTGAGTTCAGATCTGGCCTCAGATCCCCTGACTCCCAAATTCAGCCTTCCTTCCACTATATCCTACTATCCTGAGATGCTTCAAGAAGCAGGGAGTAGAGAGAACAGAGAGAGGGGATTGGAGAATGTGTTTGGCATTGTTTCCCAGGAAAAACAAAACAGAATAAGTTTTATTAGAGTTCCTACATTTTTATTAGGCACTTCATATACTGGATAATGGTCTAACTCATTTTTGTCATGGTCACCATCATGGCCAGGATCATATGAGCAGTCAGATGGGACCAAGAAGAGAGGGCATCTGTGGATGGGATAAGTCTCACAGGGGAAGCTATGGTGGTGGATTTTTGCCATTTGGCTGGGCATACTCTAGTTTTGCCACCTCTTGCACATTGGCTAAATTTGTCTAGGCTCTTTGTAGATGTTCCTGACTCTTAGATATTGAATTTTTTCTACAAAAGCAAAGTTTAGAGAATCACAGACTTAGAGCAATCAGGGCCTCTGGTCATCTAGTCCAGTCCATCATTTTATTATATTTTTAATTTTATTGATACCATTTGTTTTTATGTTTCTCAATATATCCTGGTTTTTTTTTCCATTACCCAAAGATATATCCCTTAAGACCAAGAGTAAAGAAGAGAAAAACCAGTTCAATAATACTAACCAATGTATCAACATATGTAGGGTTCTATATCCATGATGCTGCCACTTCTTCTAAGAGGACAAAGTGAAGGTTAAGTGACTTGCCCAAGATTATACAGATAATAACTGTCAAAAGCAAGATTTGCACTCAGGTCACACAACTCCAGTGAATACTCTTTCAACTGTTGTTGTTATTGTTGTTGTTGTTGAGCTGTTTCAGTCATGTCTGACTCTTCATGACCGAATTTGGGGTTTTCTTGGCAGAGATACTAGAATGCTTTGCCATTTCCTTCTCCAGCTCATTTTTCAGATGAGAAAACTGAGGTAAACAGGGTTAAGTGACTTGCCCAGGGCCACAAAACTAGGAAGTGTTTTAGGCCAGATTTGAACTCATGAGGAGTCTTTCTGACCTTGGCACTCTACCCATTGTGCCACCTAGCTTCCCAACTGTACCATGACATATAATAGACTAGGAGATGGTTGGTTTTAGGTCCTCTAAAGACAAACCATGGAGGGTCTTACAGTATTTAGTGAACCATCACAGCTGTGAATTTTTGTTCAGATTTGTGGGAGAATTCACAAAGTTCTCAGCCAGGCTTAGCAGACTGTCAAAATTTTGTTCTTCTAGAATCCTTCCCCAGATCACTGAGTTAGCCTGAGCAAAGGTCCTTTCCAACTCTGGTAGACTGCAAGGTGGTTTCATGAAGGCACAAGAGAAATGCTAACTTAGAGAATATGTGGGATTCATTCAGGCTCCATAGGCTGGCATTTCCTGGTGGTCCTCCCCTGGGGTCAAGTTGGGAGTTGGGCTTGGACTGTGAAAGAAAGAAAATGAACAAATTACTCTGCCTTTTTTTTGGTATCGCTTTTGAATCTGCCCTTCATATCTTCCCAGCCTGCTCTTTGTTCCTTGTCCTACCCTGACCACTTGGATAAGAACCTGTGCACTTCCAAGGAATACAAGCCCTTCCCCAGCCCAAAGTGCACAGAGGTGCACTGTCAATGATCAGCCAGCTCGGTCTCCTCACTGGCATGGTAACTGGCTATGTTTGCATGCTCCCTCCCCTTTCCTAACAGCAGTAAGTGCATGGGAGAATAAATGGGTATTTTCTATATGACCCTCAGCTTTGCCTGCCTGAGGCACGTGAGGCATTTGTTTCACCCTTATTAAGCTACTGTAACTCTCTATTTCCTGTATACAGCTCGTATATCTCTGGGAGATGGGAGGTGGCCTGGAGGCTGTTCAGGGGTTGGCCTCATGTTTCTGTGTCCAGGCAGAGTCCTGGACCACAGGAACCCAAGGTCTGGTCAGTTGAAGATGGGGGCAGGGTTTTTTATTGGGTAGGAAGGGAGGAGTTAGTAGGATAATGATAGCAATTAAATTTTAAAGAAAAGAGATTTCAATAAAATGTTTTAAATACACAGAAAATTAAAAAAGAAATGCACAAAGGGACCCAAATAGAGCAATTGTGTTATTGTTAAATTTAGCATGTATCTTAACCTATATGTAACAAAAGTTCAGTTTTTTATATAATCTTCTATTGTTCTTTGTATATTGAAAGATCTGTGCTGACTGATGATTGCTAAATTCATAATATGAAAGAAGAATTGTTTTAAAAGGAGCCCCAGGCACCATCTAGATTCTAGGAAGAGAGTTGCTCCTTTCTCTGACAGGTTTGCCCCTCCCTGCTGTCTTAAGGCAGCAATCTTGGTTTGTACCCAAAGGGATTGGCTGGGGAGGGGCCAGAGAGGAGGGAGGGTTGCCGCTCAGGGTTGGTTTGGCTGGACGTTAGGCCAGGACCTGGTTTGTATGTCAGAGTAACCTGCATTGGGATGTTGGCGGTGGGGGTGGGGAGTGGAAGGGAAATTGGGGGTGACCTCCTTTAAACTTTCAGAAAGGGAACTCAGAATGAGACAGTCGTGTGGCTGACCTCAATGAGGCTCAGCTAGCCTCTGGCTAAGCCCTAAGCCTTACTTGCTTCATTCTTGTTAATAAACAATAAACTCGTCAAGAATAGATCTGTGAGTGTTGCAACAACACTCGTCAGAAGACCAGGGTTCCAGTCTTGGCTCTGCAGCTAAGTAGCTGGGTGGCCTCAGGCCAAGTCAGTTACTTTCTCTGAGCCTTGGATTTTTCATGGTCAATTTGAAAGAATTATCCTCCCTTTTCTTTTCTTATGGATATCAAGTGAAACAGTAAGCATGAGGCTGATTGTTTTATTGTTTTGTATTTGTATCCCTGGGCTTGGCACAGTACCTGGCACATTGCCGGTGCCTAATAAATACTTGTTGATTGATTAATTGGTTGTAAAAACATTAATTAGTAAGGAAAATGGGGTAGGGACTAAGAGAGGCAGTATGGGCCATGGAATACTGGGTAGCAGATAGACTCTGAGCCAGGAAACCCTGGGTTCAAGTGCCACCTCTAAAACGTGCTCATGGTGTGACCCTGAGCAAGTCATTAGAGCAATCTCAGTGTTCTATAGAATTTTTTGACTCTAGCATAGAAGGTGCTAAGCTTTATTTGAGGAGGGAGTTTCCTCACCTTGAGTTTCCCATACCAACAACAGCACAGGTCCACTATCTATTCCTAAACAAATAGGTTATTAGTTTATATACATTGAAGTTTTGGGAACTCGACATCCAGGTGGGCATTGTACAAGGCATACCAAGCAGGTCTGGGAAATAGAGAACTTGTTTCATTAACAAGTTTTATGCTTCTGGAAAATGTGGAAATAAAATTTTTGTAAATCTAATTGTAATTTAAATGTACAATGAAAATAGATCACTTAAAGGAATCCTTAAGGCTCTTTCGCTTTCTTTCCTTCCTTCCTTCCTTCCTTCCTTCCTTCCTTCCTTCCTTCCTTCCTTCCTTCCTTCCTTCCTTCCTTCCTTCCTTCCTTCCTTCCTTCCTTCCTTCCTTCCCTCCTTCCCTCCTTCCCTCCTTCCTTCCTTCCTTCTTTCCTTCTTTCTTTCTTTCCTTCTTTCTTTCTTTCTTTCTTTCTTTCTTTCTTTCTTTCTTTCTTTCTTTCTTTCTTTCTTTCTTTCTTTCTTTCTTTCTTTCTTGAAGGGACTAATTCTACTCCCATTTGTAAATTTGGACTTTCATTCATTTTACAGGTAATGCTTATCTGTAAGCCCAAGGAACTTGAGGAAGGGGATGGAGAGTACCAAGGGGGATGCTGATGAGGGTTAGAAAAATAGGAGGAACAGAGCACTCTAGGATACTCACACCACTATTCTTCAGATGGTGTCTACACAATACCACGAGAAGCCAAAAAGTGATTTATTTCATCAGTGAGAACAAACATCCTGGTGAGTCTATGGCGCTTTAAATTTTACTAAGCATTTTCCTCACTACAACCACAGGAAATTAATGGATTCATTGCAAGTGCAAGGATTGTCACACCTATTTATAGGTGAAGAAATTAAGGCTCAAAGAGATTAAATAACATGCCCAGGGTAACAGAAGTCGAGATTCAAACCCGAGTCTCCTTGGGTTTATAAAGAGTCATTTCAATAACCCCATTCAGTGGCCCCAGTTGGAAACAATAGATTAAGAGAAAATTGGGTCAAAATTGGGGTGACCTTCTGAACAGACTCTAGATCCATAGGAGATACTGATTCAGACAGGAAGTACGTCATAGAGGAGAAAGGATATCAGACTATGGACAGCCAACCAAAGCCAAAATGGAACTGGTGAAAGAGTCATTAGTGAGCTAAAAGGACCAAGCATTCTTGATTCTGAAGCTATCACTTGTGTTCAAAGACTGGGGCTCAGACTATAGTAGATGAGACGGCTTCAGGAACAGAGGCACCTGAAGCTCATTTTGAGTCATGACACAGATATGCAAGAATTCTGGTGATGGAGAGCCGAGAAAGGGAACAGTTGACATCTGTTAGGAATGGAGGAGACCAGCAAGACCAGAGAGCTGGAATATATAAATAAATACATTTGTAGAATGAATAGTGTCTAGCACATATGGGGTTAAGGTACTGCACCTGTGATCTCCTTGGAATGGGAAACATTGGGTGAGGAAATGACTTCTAGGAATGTGGGTCAGTCACTTTCTCCACAATTGATAGTCTGAGAGAGTTGCCTAGGGCAGAGGTGTCAAACTCTCTCCCCTTTCAGGCTAGGAGTAAAATCGCTGGAACTGGATTCAAATGTAATTGGGATATGCTAAACAACAGAAATGTATACAACATAGACAACATTCACTTGTGGTTTTCCAAGTGAATATGGTGGGCAGCTAAATGGCACAGTGGTAAAGTGCTGGGTCTAGAATCAGGGAGACCTGAATTCAAATCTGGCCTCACATATTAACTAGCTGTGTGATCCTAGGCAAGTCACTTCACCTAGTTTGCTTCAGTTTCCTCATCTGTAAAATGAACTGGAGAAGGAAATGGCAAACTACTCCAATATCATTGCCAAGCAAATCCCAAATGGGGTCATGAAGGGTCAGATATGACTAAAACAACTGAACAAGAAAGTGAATATGCCTCCCTTTGACACCACTAGCTTAGAGTAACTCTTAATTCTTAGAGTTCCTTCACTCTATTGATTATCTTCAATTTATCCTGTATATAGCTTGTTTGTGCATAATTGTTTGCATGTTGTCTCCCCCATCAGATTGTTAGCTCCTTGAGAGCAGGGACTGTCTTTTATCTTTCTTTATATCCCCATCGATTAGCACAGTGCCTGGCACATAGAAGGTATTTAATAAATGCTAGTTGACTGACTAGGAGGTTAAATGACTTGCTCAGAGTCACACAGCCAGTATGAGTTCATAGCTGGACTTGAGCCCAGGTCTTCCCAATTCTGAGACTGGCTCTCTACCCACTAAGCTATGCTGTCTTCATCTGCACATAGATGTATTCCTAATTTTTTCCAAATTATGAGGATATTATTGTGATTAATAAAATACACATTCATTTAAAAACATAATAGAATTCATATCAGTTTTTTGTCATCATGTATTTTCTCCATCAGTGGATACTATTAGGATAGGTACTATCAGAGAATCATGTATTTACAGTTAGTAGGACTGTCAGAGGCTGTCTGGTCTAAACCCTTCATCTTACAGATGAGGAAACTGAGACCCAGGGAGGTTAAATGGTAATAAGCACTACAGGTGAAATTTGAATACAGGTGTTCTGACTCCAGAGCCAGTGTTTTGTTTTTTTTTTCTCTGCCAAGTTGCCCTGAGACTGGGCATATAGACATGATTGACTTCCAGGGTTCTCAGGAAGAAAAACCCACAGACCACTTGGTTAGTAGTCAAAAAGATTTACTATAAGGATATACAGAACAGCTTAGACATTCAGTGGCTTCCTCAGAGGTGGTGGGAGAAACCCTGATCTGCAGTTCTTCTTAGCATAAACACTCAGGGGCCTTGCTGGACCACGATGGTCAGGTGGAATGGAGATCACCTACCTGAATATTTGCTAAAAAGGTTTTGTTCTTCTTTTTCAGTGGGAAAGGGGGAAGTGGAAGGGAGAGGGAGGCTAGGGGATTGTCTTCCCTTCTAAGAGAAGGTAATCTAAGGAAGGCCTAGAGGAAGCACAGATAAACTTTGAAAGTTACATATTGATGTAGCTTTCACTTTACCTTTCTGAGGCTGTTTTTCATCTTTAAAATGTGGGTTATAATATCTCTTAGGGTTATTTGTGAGTCTGTCTTATTGTCTCCACCATTGGAACACAAGCTCTTTGCTCTTAGTATTCGTTTCATTGTATTTGTAGTCCTAGTGCTGAACCCAGTGATTGACACATAGTAGGTGCTTAATAAATAATTGTTGATTGACAATATTTGTAAAATACCTTGAAAACCTCAAAGTGTTATATTTTAGCTATTTATCATTGCCCTCTAAAAGACAGTTATGTACTTTAAAAGTAAAGCGAGTTCTGTGTAATGGAGATTTGTAGTTTCATGTACAATCTTCTCCCTCAACAATGTATGGAAATGATCATTTTAACTGGTGTTTGTTAGGCTCAGGATAACGTAAAATGAAAAAAAGTATTATCAGTACCTTCATGACGTTGGTGAGGGGTTTTATTGCTATCTTTCCTCTTGGGGTAGCCTAGGGCAAGGCACCTGGGGGGAGAAAGATGTAAAGAGGCTTGATCAGTGGAACCCTATACCAATTTGGTGAGTCTTCTCAATTAATTGGTCGGGATTTCTGAACTTGGACCTTTGTTGTCCCGGTCCCTTGAGGAAAGCCCATTCAGGATCACTATCTGGGGCTGCCTTCAAGATGATTAGTAATTAAGAGTCAGAGGGGAGAGGCTCTTGTCTGAGGGAAATACCTTTTCCCATAATTTATAATAGCAAACTTGGATATGTTTCACCCTTTTTCTCCTTTCCTTTTTACTCATTTTCTTCCTTGGATTTCTCAACTGGATTGCAACAAGTGGCATGGGGAAGGGGGAAGATTACTCCAACCCACTCCAAGAAGAAGAAAATGGTGGTTTGTAGGAGAAGCACATGGCAAGTGGCCTCCTCTTGCTAAGGTGGAGGGTTCCTGCGCCTCTAGTTCCGGGCTTCCTTCTTCTGCCTTTCTATTTCCTTTTTTGACGACAGAATTGTAGTTCTGAGAATGGGTGTTTTCACCTTTCAGTGTTAACTTGTGGGTAATTCTGAGTTGAAGAATTCCCAATTGAGATTCTGAATTGGAAGATTCAAGCACCAAATTACCAGAGGGAAGATGGCCTTTAAAAACATGCTCCTTGGAGAAAGAGAAGAGAATCTTTCACAGAGAACTGATTTGCCACTGAAGGACTAAAGGCATGACATTTAGGGCCAGGAGATCTGGCCTTGTCAAGCTTCTGTGGTATTGATGTGAATTGTGCCAATGGTGAAGGTCTGAAGTGAATGGAGGTGCATTTGTTCAGCAGTCTAATTGGTTCTTGGAGTCCTTTATATTTCTGGATTTGTTTGCGGGCTACCATGAATCCATTGTGTTTTATGCATTTTTGGTAGGCCACTTTCAGGAGGGATCTTAGAAATCATTTCGCTGACCCCCTCCTCATTTTCCGGATTAAGAAACCCAGGTCTTTATTCTCAGGAAGGGGAGGTGATTTGTGCAGCTTGCTTGCTCTGATAGAGCATTTAGTTGGTTTAGTAGATTGAGTGCTGGACTTGGAGTCAGAAAGACACTTAGTAGGTGAGTAACCCTGGGCAAGACACAATCTCTCTCAGCCTCAGTTTCCTCGTCTCTCAAATGGAGAATATAATAGCACCTCCCTCCCTCACAAGGGTATGGTGAAGAACAAAGAAGATAACATACAAAGTGCTTTGCAAACCTTAAAGCACTGTACACATGCTTGTTAGGCAGGCAGGTGGAAAAGTGAATAGAGTGCTGGACTTGAGGTCAGGAAGACCCAAGCTGGACGCTTTCCTCAGGGCAGTTATTAGCTATGTGACCCTGGACAAGCTGAGTAACTGTTCAGTTTCCTCATCTGTAAAATGAGAATAAATATAAATAAATAAAATGAAACATAGCTAATTATATATTATGTGTTACAACATACCACACCACATCATACCACACCATACCATACCTCACCACACCACACCACACCACACCACACCATACCACACCATACCGTACTATACCATACCTCACCACACCACACCACACCACACCGTACTATACCATACCATACCATACCATACCATACCATACCATACCATTATATAAATAACAGCACCTACCTCACAGAGTCATTGTGAAGACAGAATGAGTTAGCATATGCAAAGCACTTTACAAAATTTAAAGCCTTAGATAAATACTTGCTATTTTTCTTCATATTAGAGAAAGGACTAGAACCCAGGTCTCCTGATTCTCAGTCTGGTGCTCATTTGTAGTACAAAAGGTGCTGCCATCTAAGGGGAGAATGAGTCTTGATGACTGGCCAGTCTGTACACTTCAAGCAGTGCAACCCAGGAAGAAACAGGTTCAGAGCGGCAGGAGACGACTTCCAATGACTTGAATCCAGAGACCTGGGTGAGGATGGAGCCCAGAATAGAGATGGGACTTGAAATGGAACCATATGATGAAGGAACTAATTGAAGGAGTTTTTGAAGGAACTAATGATGTAAACATCTGACCATAAAACTTAGGAGGGACGTGATATCAAGCTGTCTTCAATTATGTGAAGGTCTGTCTTGTAGAAGAGAATTTAGATTTGTTTTGCCTATCACCAGAAGGTACAACTAGGGCCAATGGGCAGAAATTGCAGAGGAGAAAATTGCAGCTTGATGTAGGGGGCAACCCCCAACTTTTTAATAATTAGAGCTGGCCAAAAGTGGG